ATTCACAAGGCGACACCATTATCAAAACCCACTGCTTGATCAAAGGCATTCCCAATCGTGCATTCTTCCTTCATCCTATCTTTCCTGAATCAAGAAGAGAAGATGAGAGGCTCTGAAAAACAGAGAGATTATATCTGGCAAGAAATCATCTGAAAGAATTCAACAGCCTATGACCAATTATAATCAGCTACTGGAGCAACCTGAAACAAACCCATATTCTTGTATTTCCCTTCATGTCCATTTGAGCCATGCTAGTCACAACAGTCCAACGCTGGAACCACCAGAAAGCAAAGGTTGCCATCCAGCAAGGCAGTGAGCAGGCATGATCAGAAACACTGGGAATAGCCAGTCATCCATCCTGGACTGCTGGATAAACTTTGCAGCAATTATGAATTCTCTGCCCAGTCTGCTCTCACACAGCAGCCAGTGCCCGTCAGTCTTGCCTGAAAGAGCTGGTCATAGTGCAAGGTCTGTCCTACCATCACCCCATTTCTGAACTCCCTCTTTCAAAGTGAGAATGAAAATGACAACTTTTGGTCAATAACTCTGACAAAGCCATTATCCTTGGGGTATTTAATGGGGAGATAAGAACTTCAGGGCTTTGCACAAATCATATTAGTTCAATGCTCAAATCCGGGTAATGCTTCTTTTCAAAGTATTAATTTCATTTATTCTATTTGCTCTCCCTCTGTCCTGATAACACAAGTGCACATGGCCTCTAAATGAGATCCTCCTATTTTATAAGTTATAATCCTCCCTTTCTAGAGTAGTAATGAGATGTCTTTGCTTAATCACGTTTATTCCCCCCCAGCTTCTGCTTTTATCCGTCCCCATTTCACATTGATTTGTCTTAAAGGTCTCAGTGAAAACCATCAGGCACACAGCCACTGGCTCCAAGAGGCTCCTGATGCATATGCTGCACATGCTGCTCAACCTTCAGAGATTACAAAAGCAAAAAGGAGGAAAAAGAGCAGCTTTGTTTGCAAAGTTTCCTTTATTGGTAGAAGGAAGGGGAAAAAAGAAACCTGAAAGAACTGAGAAGTTAAGAGAAGACGTTTTGATTAATTGGGAATGAAAAAAGAAAGATTGCTCGCATAGGGGAATGGTGAGACTATTCACAACATAGTCAAGCAATTAAATAACTTGACTGACAACTTTGCAAGTTCCTCACGCTAGAAATAGAAAAGGATTTAAAGATAGCTGTGTTAATTCTTGGGTATTTCACATGAGACTTAAGGCATGGCACCAGCATTAGTTAAACACCCTAGGCCTTGCTCTGAAACACTGCACATATAATCCTTGTTGTGCTGTAAGTACCCACAGCATTAAATTATTCAAAGAGTCCACTCAGCACCATGATTCTGCAGTGCTGCACAAACAAATAAAACATTTTATCTCTAATACAAATTGGGGAGAGTTCTTCTACAGCAGCTTAGCAGACTACTTCAATTTGAGCCAGTCCCCAGGGTTAATGAAAAAGCCATATTCACTCAAAGAGGAAAGTGAATGCTGCACTATTACTTACAGAGCTGTTTTGCTTCTTAAACTAAAGCTGTAAGGAGTTTTACACAAAACCTAAGGTATCTAGAAGCTAAGTACCTTCTTCAAAGTCATTAAAAGAAAAAGAAAGGTCACGACAAAAATGTAGAAAAGGACCCAGGTACTTAACTCTAAATCCCTCTTGAAACCAGAACACTTCAAGGAGAAAAAAAACACCTAAACAAAATATGTAAACCACAATAAAATAACAAGTTTTAATCTATACCCTGCCCCATAAACAATCAAGTAACTGGCCCCAGAAGCTGACAGCAAGTTCCATATCAAAGGTTAATTCTAGTCCACCCTCTCTTTGTGTGCACCATACAATAACACTGAAGTGCTTATAGCAATATTTCCAATAATAAAAGTCAGTGAGTGAAAGCCATAAAGAACAGATTAAATGACATGCAACGTTCAGCACAACCACAATGAAATCACTTCAAAATACAGCTTTGGTACTTGGATTTATACAAGTGGTATGGTTACAGGGGAATGTTCCAGCACTGCTGCAGACAACAGTACAAAAAAGAGCTACTAATCACTGAACTATTGATATGTTAAGAGCACAGGGCAGCTCAAGATCTTAATGCAAATACTAGAAAAATGAATAAAACTTTCTAATTATATGTGGCATGGCTTTCAATTTTTACCAGATTAAGTGCTGCTTAAGAAGCAAATTATTAATTTGTTATTGCTTTCATGGGAGTTGCCCCATTTTTAATCTCATTTCCCTATTAGGTCACAACAACAACAAAAACAACCCTGGAAGTTTCTCCCTTATAAATGTAAGCAGGTAACTTCCATTGCTATCTGCACCTGGATTACCCCTAGATACCTTGAGTTCCACTACTCTCTTCTACCTGAAAGAGAAGATTGACACAAGACATGGATGAGCAGCTCATACCCAGTATGTTCCCCATTTGCTGGGGCTAGAAAATAGAAGAGCAAGAAACTCAAGCCCTGTTCATAATAAAGGAGGATAACAGAAGACAAAGGACAGACATGGTTTGAGTAGAATTGAGTCAACACAATACAAGGTAACAATGCCCAAAAGGAAACAGTAGCTGAGATAAAGCAAGTCTGATAGGGGTCCCAATAATTTAAGTCTGGCCACAATATCTCCTTTTTAGGAAGGTATCTAGAAGCTGACAAACAACAGCTCTGCCCTCATCTTTGCAAGGACAGGCTAGACTATCCCATTTCTTAAGGATCCTAAATTTATGACTAATCTAGAGATAGTTAAAGAGCAATGAATTTTAAAAGTTCCTCATTCTTTCACCACATTCTGGGCTAACACACCATGGTCACTATTTACCACAAGGGGACCCTACTCAGGTTTTTACAGAACATCAAGGACATATTATCTTGGTATGCAACACTACAGGATTGAAAGCTAATTCAGATAATAAAACAGCTTTTGTATGTGAGCAGCCAGATTCCAACTCATTTTAGAGGTGTCCTCTTTGCATTTTACAAATATTGCAGGACTCTGCTAGCCACATTTTTTCAGGATTACACTCCACCTCATTGCAGGATGGCAGAGTTCTACTTTGAGCAAATTCACATCTTTAGACTGGACAACAAATCCACCAACTTCTTTCCTTAGCCCTTACAGAAGCCAGTTAATTACATTCATAAAGAGAATATTCTCTCTCTAGCGAAAAGAGTGTTAATACTGCACCTGCTGACCCAGATATCCTTTGCAGAGGAGCAACAGTCACCTGCCTCAGACATCACTGCTCTGAAGCTGAGCAATCATCCAGCACCCCATGGTCAGGATCCAATCTGCCAAGAGGAAATTTCCTGCCACACAGCAGCCATTCACAAGCTGTATCCATCTAGGAGAGCAATCTCAGCCACCTACCAATCCAATTATACACAAATTTTATCATGGAAACAAAGTACAGTTGGGTCCAAAACCACAAACAGATTAATTCACAGAAAAGAATTTCCTTAAAGATTGTTAACCATCAAAGTGAAAATACAACCTCTTACTTTCAAAGCCTCTACCTCTTAGAACATCAGAATTTGCAAGGGTATAGGTGGGAAATACTGCTTTATACCTGCTCTGCTCTCATGCTTTCCATCAGCAGCTGCTGGGGATCACTGTCAGAGATGGATTGCACCTATAAAGACCTTTTCCTTGAACCACTGTCACCATTCTTACACAAATTTTAATTATTCGGTCCCCAAAAACATCTTTGTACTATAACCTCTAAATGCTTCACATTTTCCCTGGGTAAACCAGGGCTGTTAGCATTCAACACACAGAAAAAAACCCCAAACCTCATAGGATTCTTTGCTTAAATCAAGCACACACTGGTTAAGCTACAGATCAGTAGGATCAAAGAATCACAATAAGCACTATTCATACTCCAGTCTGTCCTTTCCCTAAACCATCCTTCCAGCATGCACCAGGCAAGGAGAATTCTCTTGGTCCAGTTCTCCCAATAAAGTTTAAACAGCACAGTCTAAATGAATGGGCAGTTTGATCTCACTGTGGCCAGCATGGCCCCACCTGGCTGTCACACCCTGACACCACTGCAGGTCAGGAAAAAGGGGCAGCTCCAGTAAGACTCTGCACTGGTTACAGACAGTACACCATAGGAATGGCAGTGTGCAAAAGAAAACAATATAAAATAATGTCATTTAATATTAAGCAGCAATGACAATCCCAGTGTACTGTAGTGATTGATAAAAGCCTTTTGCTCCACTCAGCCTCATCCCACTGTACTTCTGCCTCCAGCACTGCTCTTCTCAGCACTGGTATGACAGCAACCTAATGGGTCATCATAACACCAAGGTGCCTGACTAATAGTAAAAGCTGCAGCAAGAAGCCCCCGAAAGTAAGTCTGCCTGCTGGGCAAGAACAAATTGGTTTGGGAGTCAGTGGTGTGTCAAAAAAAGGTTTATGCTTCCTGGTCCCTAAAAATCAATCCTAAACCTTCTTCAAAAGGTTACAATATTTGACAGTTTTATAACAGTTCTTCTGTTACCAGATTTATAAAAGACTCAAACAAATGAAGAAGACATTATTACTTTTTATTAATTTGTGTGCATGCACTATTATACTCTAGAAAAAAAACAGAGCAAAGTCTCAGGATATATCAGGTCAGCAGAATTTGATCCCGTTTATATTGAAACATTTATTTCATACACTTGAGAGCTCAAGAGAGTTCTCTGTAGCTAGACAAGGGCCACATACACACACAGACCATATTCCCTGCCACTGGTAAAACTGTCCCCAGCACAGCCATTGTTCATGCCTTGGCAGCATGGAGTGACATGGAGCTTGCAGCTGCACTGTGAGCCAAATGTTAAGTGATGAGCGAGATGAGGAATGTTTCAGTCCAAACACCAGTTTCTAAACTCATCTCACAAATGACATTAAATGAATGCCCTCAAGCAGAGCCATTTTAGCCTGTGCAGGTTGGAAACATAGCAGGGGGTTTGTTACTCACCAGCTGGGCTGCTCTCTGCCTCTCCTCAATAATGCCAGACCTCTCCTTGGCCTCACAGGCTGCTTCCCTTTCTCTCTTGACCAGCCGGACCAGCTCCTCTTGGACCAGCGACTGCTCTGCCAAGTACCTGTGTGAGCACCAAGGCACAGGGAAGGTCAGCAGCAACAAGGTCATGGCTGGTCATGGAGTATCCCTGCTTAGAGCCAAAACACAAATCCAGAATTTGACACAGAATCTGCTCACAATCCCATCATCAGCAGGAATTCAAAAGCCCAAAAACTTTAAATATGACCTGCAATTCCAGTGAGGTACAGCTCTGGCAACAACACAGGCATAGCACCACATAAGCTTATACTTGAGTTATATTTAGCTCTATTAAGTACTTAATTATCACCTGAAAACAGTGAAAATAGGAAGCAGTTAGCCAGACAAATAGACACTGCTCTGGAAAAGATCAAGGGACATACAACAACAAAAGGAGTCAGCCAGGCTGACAATGCTGCTCTTTGGCTCTTACACAGGAAAGAAAAATCACAAAATGCATGCAGCAACAACACTAAGAGAAGCAGCCCTGAACTGAAAAAGGCTTCAAAGAGGATTCTCAGGTATTAAAACATAATCATAAAATAGAATCACAGAATTGTTAAGGTTGGAAAAGATCAAGTCCAGCCATTAACCCAATGCCACCACATTCACCACTAAACCATGTCCCCAAATGCCACATCCACTCATCCAAGGCCTTTTGAATACTTCCAGGAATGGTGATTCCAGCACTTTCCTGGCCAGCCTGTTCCAATGCCTGACCACCTTCTCAGTGAAGAAATTTTCCCTCATACCCAACCAAAACTTCCCCTGCACAACTCGAGGCTGCTTCCTCTCTTGTCCTGTCACTTGTTACACCTGGGAGAAGAGACGACCCCACCTGGCTACAATCTTCTTTCAGGTGCTGTAGAGCCATAGGCTCCCCCTGAGCCTCCTTTTCTCCAGGCCAAACACCCCAGCCAGTCCCAAGGAGGTTTGTGCTCCAGCCCCTTCCCCAGCTCCCTTGCCCTTCTCTGGACACACTCCAGCCCCTCAATATCTTTGTGTACTGAGGGGCCCAAAACTGAACCCAGGATTTGAGCTGTGACCTCAGCAGTGCCCAGAGCAGGGGGACAATCACTGCCCTGATCCTGCTGGCCACACTGTCACTGATACTGCCAGGATGCCACTGGCCTTCTTGGCCACCTGGGCTCACCTGGGCTCATGCTCAGCTGCTGTCAAACACACATTATGCTGAGGTAAAACACAGACATATGCATACATAGATATATTCCCAAATGAGCTAAATTATTGTCTTTTTCAAGAGCTTCACCTCACCTCCTGTAGAGTTCCTGCTCTGCAGAAGAGTCACTTTCCTTTGGTGCCTGAATTCCTAGAAAGGAAAAGAGAAAACTGTGACAACTAATAGTACTACAAATGTAGTCCTTCATTGCATCATAGATTATTTTAGGAAAATTTCATATTATTCGTCAAGAGAAAAAAGAAAGTCAAGAAAATTTAAGTTTGATGGATAGAGTTTGAATTTATGAAATAGACACACCAAGAGCATCATTTTCAAACAGGCACACTGAATAAACCATGCTACAGAAAACTATGTGAGGATATTAGCTCCTCAAACCCTTATATATAATGAAATACGAGCATGGCAGTAGACCTACTTTCCACTTCCTTCCTCTAGTTCCAGCAAGTCTTCCTCTTGACCTCCTTCTCTCCTTGTAATTAAAAGGGATTCCACAAGTGAAGATGAAATTATTTGATGGAGTTTGGGCCATCCATAAAGCTAAATCTACATTCAGGAAAGACAGGCTGACAGCAAACAAGTCCCTAAAAGCAAAGGCCTAGTTCCCTAACTTCAGTTTAGTCTGAATGCCTTTAACAAATCCACACTGCCGATATACATCAACAAAACCTATTTGGGAACCAATAGAAATCAAACAGTTTTCTGACATGTAAATAAAGACAAGTTCAGAAACCAAGTTATCATCATCCACTTAGCCAGCTGTGCTTGGACAGGTTATCGTTCCCTTTCCAAAAAATAAAAAGCAGCACTTCCCTCACCCATGCCCAATATACACCCTGTGCACGTACAGCAGACAACAAGGCAGCTTGTCAGAAATGAAAAGCAAAATATCTCTGCCTTGTTTATTGCACGTTGATCTGAAATGCTATAAATGATCCCAGAGTGACACAGGGTAAGCAAAGAGCTCCTCTCACAAGGGGGTAGCACTGAAAACTACCCTGTAACATGGAGTGGCAGCAGCACCCCTGAGTACCTGTAGGTCTGGGTTTCCCTTCTGCAGCCAGGGAGGAGGGAGCTGTGCCATTGGATGCACGGGGAGATCTCTGGATCTCCCTTCTGCTCGGAGAGGATCCTTTCATCCGGTTCACTACATCTTCAGTGAGCTGAAACACAGAACCAGCCACGTCAGTTTCTGCTGTGTATTTCACTGGGAACCTCCCCATTTGTCAGTTTCTATGACAGCACAGAAGTATTGTCCGTTTCTGGTGTGTATTTCACTATGAACCTCCCCATTTGTTAGTTTTTATGACAGTATTGTCAGTTACCTCACTGCAATGTCCCTCCAGTCCAGGCAGTCAGCACTTGTATGATTTACATTTTTAAAACCCATACCCTATCAGTAAGTGACAAAACCTCCAATCTGCTGCCTGACTCTGAAAGCTTCACTGGACAGTCTTCCACAAACACCAAAGGTGGAGAGCACCCCTAAACAAGTCAACTCTTTGTATAGGGAGAAACCTACCAGAAGTGGAAGGAAATGAATTAAGCAGGTTTTAAGTCCATCTTTTCCTCTTTTTGCTCCATGCTTGCTAACCCAGCTCAGCATGGCAGACATGCTGCAATCCATGTGACAGAGAACAGCCTCCCACCCACATAAGGCTGCAAACACTTTTGCAATCTCAACTTCATTTTCACTACCTGACTTGGGTTCAAACCCATGAAAAAGAAAGAAAAATTAACTTGAAGTTTTCTGACAATTCAGTCTAAAAGGCTTCTCACAGCACTGTTAAAATTGACCCCTTTCTCCTGCCAAGGTCAGAGGGTCTGGCTGCAGAACAAAACAAAATGAGGCTGCTCCCCACCTAGACTTGCCACAGTAGAAGACATATTTTCAGTTATATCACTACTACCCAACTTAACAGCATTTTAATACCTTCATTTTACATTGTTATCATGCCCAATTCCTGATTTTAAAGACACAAATCCTTGTCTATATCCTGTAAGGAGGAATTAGGCAAAGACAATTTTATCTCCATCAAAAAACTTTAACAAGGAGATAGCTAAGATTGTGCCTAACTTTTGTAAATAATTAGTCAAAATGGGATGAAAAATAAGTATCCACAGCAACACACACTCTGTGTGAGCCAAAATGTTAAGTGGCAGATTTTAGGGGGAATCAAGAAGAATTTAGAAGCAAGAGCAATTAAAATGATGGTAGTAATAAAAAACCCCAAACTAACGTGTAAAAAACCAAAGAAAAATAAGAAAAATATTAACGGGGGAGGGGGTGGGGGGAGAATCCTTAATGGTAGCACCACCACTGTCCAGGGCTTGTTTCCCCAACACACACTTGTCAATTTCCGAGCCAAGGTCGAGCAGCAGTTTCCCAGTGTCCCTCCCAGGAACAGCTCCCTGTTCCCAGCTCTCGTCCCCCTGCTCACTCAGTGATGCCCTGCCCGGCTCCTGGCACCGTGAGCAAGGGCAGAGCTGTGCCCTCCCGGGTGCCCTCCGAGCCTGGCAGCGCCGTTAGCATCAAACCGCTTGCAGAGCACAAGGCAGGGGCACAACGAGGTCATTGAGCAGCGAGCAGAGACAGAGGGCTGGGAGCAGAGTTCGGAAGTCAAAATAAAGAGCTGGTGCTGGTGTGCCCCGCTGGACAACAGCCATGCCCAGGCCCCCAGCCCTCCTCTTCACCACTCACCCCATCGTTTCTCCAGCCCCCTCCTCCTTCAGCCTCCAGGTGTCCCTCCCCTCCTCTTTGCTTCCCCCACCCGTCCCTCCCAGCCTCGCTCCCCTGAGCTCCCGGCCAGAGCCGTCCCCAGCCCTGCTCCCTGCGCCCCGGCCCCCAACAGCCGGCGCCACGGCAGCCCGGGCGGCCTCACCTTGATGCCCTGCAGCACCCGGACTCGGTCCTGCTCGTCCAGCTCGAAGGACACCTTCCTGCGGGCCGGGCTGCTCTCGCAGCTGCCCATGCCGTCGGGGATCGCTTTATCCTCGCCGCTCCTCTCTCCCGTACCGGCCGCCAGCAGCGCCTCTGCCCTGCCAGCGCCTGCCAATATACCTGCTCCCCATTGGCGGCGCCCGCAGAGCGGCCAATAGCGCGGCGCGGTGCTGGCGGCCGGGCACGGTGCACGCTGGGGGATGTAGTCTGTGCCGGGAGCGGGCGGCCCGCCCGGCACCGGGGTAGCGCAGGGCACCGGAATAGCGGAGAGTCGCGCTCCTGTCCGGTGAGCCCGCCCTCCACACCGCCCCGGCAGCGAACGCGGCATCAAAACTGCCCCTGTAACTTCCACTGCTACACGTTAAGTCACGGGGCTTTCCCAAGCTGAGGGAGGATGAGCTCCCGTCAGACACAGCAGCTGCGCTGGGAGCAGAATTCAGCTCCGCTCCTTCCAGCGGCGATGCTCCAGCCAGACGGTGCCGCCACCTGCCCTGACACACACGGCGGGTCCTGCACAGCTCAGGCCACGGCTGATACAGTCCCTGCTACCAGGCATGGCTGATCCGACAGCCTAAAGCGAAGGAATGAGATAATGCAACACACAGGCCGTTGAAGGAAGAAATAACAGCTTTGGAGAATCTTTCTCAAACAAGCTTTCTGCATTCCCAGAAATAAGGGCCAGTTGGTATCAATTTGTTACTTATCTACTCGGCCCACTGCTGCTCAGCAGTGCATGGGAGCAGTTTTAACTGTTTAATGCTGATTCCTCACTGCAGTTAATGTGGCAACCAGAGTTTTGCCTCAGAGTGGGACTTGAGCCAGCATTAAGGGACTATCTGGGACTCTGCACCCCCCAAACTGCCCCTGAATATCCAGGTCTCTTCTACAGCACATTCCTGGAAGCAGGGAATATTTGGTTTATTGTGCAGCACCTTGTATGGAGAGTCAGCCCATTGCCTGAGCTCCCAAGGGCACTGCCCTGTCTGCACCAGCCAGGCAGAGCACAGGGTGCCTGAAGCTCCCTCCCAGGGCACTCACCTGCCTCCTGCTCATTCCTCATGTGCCACCTGCTCACTTCACTTGAAGGCACCCGATTTTTGGGCTGAAAGAGCCCATGAACAGATATTCCTTACTCACCTCTTCTGTCCTCCCCAAGGGTTTCACAGGCTCACACCATTGCTCTTCCAGGCTGGCGAGTTCTCAACCATGAGATTACTCCTCCAGAAGGGTTTCCATAACTGTGATTGTTCCTGTCATCCTTCCCTAGGCCTTTCCAGGTGCACACTCCCAGCCAGGTGGCAGACATCACCTGCAAAGATCCAGGAAGGACAGCTGGCAAAGGCAAACAAAACCACATCACACCTGTGCCCATGCCTTTCTGCAATTCTTTTTTTTAAATCTTCAAGTCATTTTTCCTCCCCAATATGCCTCATTTGAGAAATAAAGCATGACTATTTATGCCAAACTTAATTTTATTTATTTTACAAACAAAAATATACATTTATTCTGTATTTTCTCTCTTTTTACCACCCCCCACACATAACACATTTTGCTCAAGAACCACTTTAAGATGGCCCAAAGATTTATATACATAAATACATAACAGGAGGAAGGTCAGTCCATGACCTAGTGCAGAAGCTCCTCAGCAGCGGAACATGGGACAGAAATACTGGAGTCCTGCCAGCAAAGGACAGGATGGATGTTGGCAACCTGCACAGGTGATCCTTCAGCACTGAATTCAGATGGTAAAAAAGGCAAATTCATAACAGGCTCTTCACATCACCAAGGAGGGCAGGTTAATTCCTTTCACTCAGGGTGTTGGAAATCAACAAATACTCCTTAGGATGGAAAACCAGTTGCTCCTTTAGTTCTCAACTGCTTTGAAACCTTCATCTCAACTCTGTCCAAGGCCCAGGGAAGCTTTGTGGCTCCCTCACCCTTTCTAACCAACAGCAGCTCAGATCAGAGCTGTAAGCAGCACCAGGAGCAGCAGCACAGCAATTCAGGCAGCTCATCATCCATCCCTTTTACAGCAAGCAGTCCAGTGTGGCTCAGGCTGACTGACAGCAGTGACACAGCAGCATGGAACACTTCTCTAATGTGACAAGGGCTGACTTGGCCAGCTCATCCAGCCCCTGCAGTCATTGCATGAAATGGAAATGTGACAGGCTGTGACCTACAAGAAACTATCACCTCTAGCACACAGACAGATGGAAGCCTTTTTTCCCCCAGAAGTAAATAAAATAAAAATAAAAAAGAGGGGTGAGGGGTTGGGTGGGTTGGGGCATTGTTTGTTTTCAAGGTGCCAGTGCTAGTTAGAGGCCTGCAGGGCAAAGTACCCAGGCAGACAGAGAAGCTGCATTGCTCATTAACAAAATAAGATAAGCAAAGGCCTGCATAGTTTTGGCAACCAATATGAACTTCATGTTCTTACCCACATTTTCTTTCCCTGTGGTGGGAACACCTGGTAGCAAACACCATCCTCCACCTAATGATCCAAACCAACCCCTCCACACTGCACCTTGCTAACTCTTACCTTACTCTTCAGGAACAGCAGTAAGCTGGGGCAAGAGATTCACACAGTCCCCAAACACTGCAAATTCCCTCCATCTACCATCCCCAGTGGAAAGCTGCTTACAGCAGATCTCCACCTACCTGGAGGACTCAGGTAGGAAAGCACCCCCAAATTTAGAGGAATACACATCTTCTCCCTTGGAAAGCACAGGATATCCCAGAAACCAGACTGATGCAGCCTTTATATGAACAGCTGCTGGAGTGGAACACCACATCTTGAAACTGCATGCCAGACAGCTCAGACAACAGGAGTCCCTTTTCCAGCAGGGAAGAGGTTAATAAGAAGTTCCAGGAAGTCTTTAAAAGAACTGCTCCCCACATGCACATAAGCATTTTCAACACACTGAGCCATAAAACTTACACAGACCAGCAGCAGTCTGGGGATCTGAACTGCAATGTAGGGGAAGGACACTGCCAGAGATACACACCCACCTCCCACTGCAGCACACCAGCCAGCTTGGTTCTAGCACACCTAAGGTGTTTGAGTTTCCAGTCACTAAATTCTGACAGCTCAGACTCATCATAGGCCACTGCTCTGCCTCAAGCACCTGAATGTCTCTGGAGCCTTCATCTGCAGAGTCACTCACCTTCCTCCTTCACAGCACTCTCCGAGCCCCTGCCAAAGCCATGAAGCAGGGTGCAGATGGAAAACACACCTACCTGACAGGTTTTTCTCCTGAAACTCAGCCCTGATTCAGTGCTGTTACTTAGATTTTCCTGTGAGCTCAAATGCACAGCACTACAGCCCCCAGAGACTGCTTCACAGCTCCTTCAGCTCAGCTAGACAGCAGCACTGTTTGTCCTTCTGTCTCCCTATTGTTCAGTCACTTCACATTCATGCTGTGGGCTACCAGCCTTCCCCAAATGTTCTCTGGGCACAGAGAACACTTCATACCTCTTTTTCCCCATACACTGAGAACACTCCTTTTAACCACTAGCAACTCCAACTCCCAATTTTCAACAGTGTCAGCTGAAACCAAGGGTGAGCCCCAGTGACCAGCTTCCCTCATCAGACACTATCACCACCTGTGCTGTTGCATTCTGGCAAGATGCAGGCAGCCATGCTGTTTAGCCCAGGAAGATCATCTTTGGTTTCAACCACCAAAATCTTTCTAAATATGTACAATACAGCAGTCAAACCATCCCTAAACACCATTGCTCTAAGTGAGAAACAAGTGCTTTCAGCCACTGAAAAGAAAGGTGCCAGCCAGGGTCATCTTCTGGGTCATATTCACATCTGGAACATGGAGGATCAGGAAAGTTCAGTGTTTAAAGGTTTATGAACAAAACCACTCTACAATGTTCTCATGTAGCAACAGAAAGTGTTCTTCCCAAAAGGGTTTGGGGTGCCAACTTAGTTCCACAATAGGTGTTGGAAATCCTAAGGACAAGAGGAAAGCCACAGCAGGTAGCCAAGGACAGATTTCCAGTGATCATCCTAAGGGCTGTGGTATCAGGAAGTTTGGAAGGAAAGAAGTGAGGCCTCATGTGATTGAGATGCCCTGCCTCAGGCATTGATGGATTTCCAGCGGTCACTGTCTATGCTGTTGATGCTGCCCACGTGGTATGGCATAGAGGCCACATCATCCAGATAGGCTGTGGTGTCAATCTGAGTGCTTGAGTAGAACCCAGCATCCATCCCTTCCTTCTTGGCAACAGCATATGGGTGGGGTAGGTGCACATCCACATCCTCAGGTTCATCCACCTGACACTTGTAGGAGAAAAGGATCTTCGGTTCAGACCTGGAGAGATGAAAGATTTAAGATGCATGTTTTACCAACGGGGTATCACAGCTACCTATCCTTAACTGAAACTCATCAGTGTTAAGAAGTTGTGCATTTAGACCTCAAACACTCTTTAAATGAGCTTTTGCTGGCACAAAAATGAGTCAGAACAGGAGTACACTTCAAGTTGTACCTGTGCACCTCATGAAAACCAAAATACAAACACCTGTAGATCAGTAGTTTTCATCTTTAACTCCAGACAATGTTCCCTTCTAATTTCAAAGGGATGCAGAGGTATATTTAATATTATATTTTAAAAACACGTTATCTTCTTATTTTGAAGCCTGCTGTTTCTCGCTAATGACCAACAAATACTAAAGCCCACACTAAACCACTCGTTTTCCCACCAAGGTGCAGTTCCTGTGAGTGGCCACACGGCGGCGACCCCGGCCTGAGAATCGACCTTCCCAGGGCTCCTCACTAGCGAGCTCTGGGCCCACGGCAGAGCCCTCGGCTGAAGAGTTACTGAGCTCCCTCATCCTTTCCACAAATTTACCCCAAAACCCACCCAGAAGGCCATTTAAGCTCCCAGGACTCAATTCCTCATTAAGCATTTAGCTATTAACTTCAGCAGAAAAACTTTGTACTACAAATGATGCTGATGCTGAAGAAGTGATCCTCTGAAATGTGTGAGGAATCCAGCATCAGCTCTGCACACAAAGGGGCCCTGCACAGAAGTGAGCAGCCACGAGTCACAGAAATTCTGCAAGGGCAGAAATTAAGACTGGGTCTCTAACTGGTGTTGTAGTTGTAGATGGAGAGAACCTGAGCACAAAACACTTAAATGACAAAATATATCCCTCTAAACTCCTGTTCCTGGCTACTCACCCAAAGAAGCCTTTCAGGAATGCCACATAGATGAGAGGTGCAAAGAAGCTGAAGTAAAGGAATGTGGTAGCATCAACACAGCTGTCAAGAACAAAAGGGAACATGAAGGGATTTAGCACTCAAGCACAATACAGCTGGGTAACACCCCTCACATCCTCCCAAAGAATCCAATTTCCCTCCAAAGCGTTCAGAGATCAAGGAAAATCGTGCTAAACAAATTTAAACTGATGCAAAGTTACAGTCATTGTCATCAACACGTGTCACTGCTCCTAGACACTCAGGGGAACTGTGCCAAAACCCAAGGTCTGACCAAGAGCAGTCTCAGTACTCCCAATTTTGACTCACAGATGTGACACTGATCCCTGCAGAATGAGACTCCAGGTATAAGGGTGTCTCCATATTTCTAACAAACAGACAATTTCCTCTCTTATTACCTACTAATTACCAGTCATCAGTGGATTCACACTACTACTCTCACTCACCACCTCAAGACAACTGCAGCACACACAGCTCCACAACCTCTCCCCTGGGGAGTTTCCTGATTATTTAGAGGTCTCTTTTGGCACAAACCAGAACCACCAGAAGGTTTATTCCTTCTCAGGAACACAGCATAGGTTTGTTTTCTTGGGAGAGGCAGTGTTAAAGGACACTCAAATACAACACAAGAGCCAGGGCTGCAGATCTCCTCCCCCACTGTACATACCACAGTCCTTCTATGATATCCACACAGAGGAGGGCACTGCCCAGGCCCTGCACCAGGTTCAGCAGTGCCAGAATGCCAGCATAAATGTAAAAACTCTTCCTGGCTGTGGGAAAGACATGGACACACGTGAAGCTCAACCTCAAACACCAGACCCATGGAAATCTGTTTGATGGAGATGCCAAATCCAACAGAAGCTTCTCACCACCTTGCCTCTAAGAACTTCTGAAGAATTGAGATTTATTTTTTATTTTACCACCATGCTGGCAGGACTGATGGTGGTAAAATGGACTAAACCAGACCCTCCTGCATGTGTATATGCACACACAAGATGGGTTTTGAGAGCAATGTTACAGCAATACATGCAAAGATTTAATTTGCAAGCATCTGGAACCAGTGTCAGTCACATAACTGACTGCAAGGAAAACTGAACAAAACCAACCCAGCTGAACCAGAAGCTGTGCCCTTCCAATGTACAGCACTAATAAAACTGCTCAGGAGACCTCAACAGGAGCAGCAGGGTATGCTGGACACCAGGCAGATCACAGGACCTGTGACATGTGACATCCATATCCCCTCCCTCAGGATACCCACACAGCAATGTCAACACTAGTTAGAGAAGACTTAATAACAATAATAAGCTTAATAAGAGGTTACAAACACCTTAATAACAGCTTCTCTCTATTCAAGAGCTACAGATATTCTGCAACAACAGCAAAAACCAAACAAACAGAAGCATTTACTTACAAAAGTAAAAGCTCAGATAAAAATTGTTGAGCATCTCCCACTTAGCCTTCCCTTCCCAGGAGATGACTAGCACACACACTTTAACATCATGTGTGCATTTCAAAGGAAGCTGCTATTAAGAAGCCATTTCTTAAGGCTCTCAGAAGATTATACATTACATTATACCTGTATCATTATCTGAGCAGTAGGTCTTGTTTTAATGTAATTGTTTAGCTACTAAAGTAGCAGTATAACTGCTCTTACTCTGCTCTCCAAAAGACACAACATACTAATTTTTCTAGGGATAAGTCCTTTGCCTTGTTATCTAAACTCTGAGATGTGGAATGCACCTGCAGCACAAACACACACAGGAACCTTCTACTCCCATCTATGCTTTATCCTGATGCTATGGAAAACACTACAGTTACCTACAGGGCAAAGAAATCCGGTCTTTCAGAGGAGTTTTTGGCAGAATCACCACCAAGGAATAGACCTGTTGAGACAAAGAACCAACAGTTCCATGGTTGCTTGTCAACTCAACTCAACCATCTTTGCAGGGATGGTGTGTGGTATTATGCACTCCCTACATGTCTCAGGGCAGAGGCACAAACCCTTAACATTAAACACACTACAGAATGAAGGCCCCACAACTCCCCCCATCAGCACAAAACAGCTGAGAAACACAGGAGGGAGGAACATCTGAGCACAGCTGGAATACAGCTTCAGCACTCCCACTGCACCTTTATTGCTTCAGCTTCCCCACCACATGAGAAGCATCACTATTGTGCTGCAGGAGGGGGATTAGGGCATTATTGTACTCAGATCATCCTCCTTGCTCCAATTAGAAAATACAAAGAAGTTACCAGAGTGTGAAACATATTCCCAGTACTTACCAGGAAGAAGAAACAGGAGCTGGCAAGCCAAAAGTGTCTCCCACCATGGCCATAGATATTGAAGTCTTCTGCTGAGAGGTGGGCATCAGGGTACAGGATTTCCAGGGTGCCCTAGGAGAGAAGTGGCACCAATATGACTCTGTTACAAGCAGTATCCTCACTTAAATGCATATTTGGACAAGGGACACTATGCTTAAAGAAGTTCAGAAAGCAGCTGGCTTGCCCCTCACCCCCAACCCAACCAAGCCCTGCCCTGCTTAGACCAAGTTACACTCACACAGAAGAGGAAGAAACTAAAGACAAGAAGTGAGGAGAGAAGGAGTGACAGGAATCTACATCTGAAGGAACCTGGCACCAGTGACATTACAGAAGAGAGACTGAGGTGGACAGAGGATGCAAGCACTTTTCTGTCTAAAGCAGACCAAGAGCTTCATTTCCATTTTAAAGTAGACCTTTCTGCTGAAACATCCAGAATATAATTAGCTTGGGAAAGGACACTGTCTTGTTTAGGAGCTACTCATACAGACAGTGGAGAGCAAAGTGCTTGTAAGCACTACTGAACCCAGATATAGCTCCAACACTTGATATTTTATGAGGCTCCTCCAGCTTTATCATGTGGTAATGATCAGCTCACTGCCTCTGCAGCCAAGAGCCTGGTCCCAGAACAAAGCTCTGTGTGTTATTCTGGCGCTGCCCTGAATACAGAGACATGGGCTGACCACTGACATGCTGAGGAGGAGAATGAACCCAGACACAGATTGCATTGTTCAGGGACATGAAGACATGCCTAATAAACTGAGCCAGCAAGCCAGCTGCTCATCTGAAGAGAAGCAGGAGCTCTCAGCTCTCAAAGACTCAGCAGACAATGGCACTGCACTGCCCTTACTTGGCAAGCACATGGTTTTCATGGCCCTTGAGGCCAGAACCAGAACTTGTGGCTCAGGTGTGGAAAACCTCACTCTTGATCCCAGATTCACTAAACAATGCAATCCACCCAAACAATTTCTTCACCTTACCTGAGCTATTTATGCAGCAAAGAAGACAAGCAGATACTATCTGCTTATACACTGCCACAAGCATTCAGTTTTCCTCCAAAACCTCAGTTAAAGAGCAAAGCTGCCACTTTCAGAGAGGAGTCACACACTTAACTGCTTAACTTCAAGCAAAGTTCCTTCTTTTGCAAATTCTGCTTCAGTGTACTCACCTGGGTGACAGAATATGCCAGAGACAGCACAGTGGTGATTGCCAGCACACGTTTCACACTCGACTTGCTCTCCAGGTGACCTGCAATTATGGGGAATGGAAGTGACTCAGGATGCAATCCCAGCACTGGTTAAAAACAGTTCCTTTCAGAAGCAATAAAAGAAAACACTTTTATTGCCAGAAGCCTTCAAGGAAAGGTTAAAGCTCACTAAACCCTGTCTGGAGAGTGGAGCCTTTCACAGGCAAAAATCCTATTTACAAAACAACAAATGTTAACTTGCTTTCCTCCTGTCCACAGTAAGAGAAAACAACTAAGTCCTTCTGCAGAAAAGAAAAAAAAAAAGTAATTACTCCAGCATCAAGTACACTGAGATATTATAAAGCTGCTTCTCAGAAAGAAGAGTTGATGGGAGGCTGGAGTAGAGAAATCTGTACTGGAATATACTGAAGTAGGCAATTTCCAGAAGCTCCTTCTAATTGAAATTATTCTATGAGCCCTCAAAAGATGAAAAATGCAGTGCTCACATATCCCACTGACATGTGCAACAGAGACACCCACCCTTTCCTCTACCTCTGATCCACAGGGAGAGGCATTTTCACTTATATAACTGAAAAACTGAAGATAAAGCATTTGAATGCAATCAGGATGGATCAAACCAATTAAGGATGGAATGAAGGGGATAGAAAGGTCCCCAACAGGACTATCTTAAATAAAATGAGCTTGAAGCAAAGATCAGACTGTTGATCTTGGCAGAAAAATCTTACCTAAGCTGTATACTCCATCATATGAGTGCAGGACAAACCAAGCACATATAACCCCTTAAATCACACAAACCATAGATCTCTAAGTATAATGAGGCCTTCAGCCACTTCTAACTAAATCTCCACAATTTACCCTTTGTATTTATTCTATAGCTCTTCACTTTATAGCATCAGCATCACCATAAACTTACAAAAGCAACCTCTGTGGAAGAAAAGGCAACAGGAAATAATCAAAGCACTCCTGACACATACCAAAGGCAAGGCCTAGGATCACCACACTCAGTTCAATCGCCAGAAGGAAGAACCTTGTGATCTCCCACAGGATCTGAGAGATAATAGAGACCAGATAAACATGATTAGATGAAGCCAGGAATCAGTTTGAAGTTAATAAAGCAAAACTCCAGGGGATGGCAGCCTCTGAATGCCTGGTCATTTTCACAAACCCTTCTCATGTTTTGTAGGGTACTGATCACATGCTTGTTCCAGGCTTGTGGAACAGAACAGTTGTGTGAGAAGGAGCAATAGCAGCTCTGCAGAGAGGAAGTGGCCATGGTTTGCCCCAGTTGAGGATTTGTCACTTGTTTCAGATGTGTTCTTGCTGCTGTGCTCCCAAAGAGCACAAGCCCATGATGACCTCAAAAGTAAAATACTAAACAAGGCCAGTTTTCAAAGCAGTAGATCTGCCTGAACAAACTCTGTATTCTGCCCTCTTCCAAAGCCACTGGTCCTTACATCTAAAGCATATTCAAGTAAAAAGCACCCCCTGTTCCAGCCTGTCCGTTGCAACCTCATGTTTTATTTGATGAAACAAGACCTATAAAAAGCAGGTAAGAATTTTTCAGGGAGTCATGCAATAAATCAGTGCCAAACCTAGAACAAGCACCCAGATTCTGGCTTATTAACCCTTTACCTCTGAACACTGAATGGTACAGTCTTGAAGATAGATAATATTTTAAGAAGCATTGCATAAGACACTTCTAGTCCCAGCAAATACATAGTGAGTGCATATATATAAGAGAACACTAAGAAAACAGAATAGGGCATGTTTACAGAAAAAAATGTCAGAGTATGTCTTGCTACATCATTTCCCAGTTGCTGCACTTACAGCTCAAGCACTGCAGAGCTTTTTGTTTTAATTAATATTTTGCTACAAGTCAAATTAATGCAAAGGAACAGCACATGCAAAGATATTTTCTCATTGCTAAAGGTTCACCCTGTGCTCAGAGTGGTTGCAAGGACATTCAGGTGTCAGTCTCAAAGGGGAAGTTGGTTTTATTTGCATTCAATACAATACTTGAACATTTTCAAAGAGCCACTGGAATACTGCAAGAGTAACAAAGGCCAGGTCTTGCCTATCCATTAAAGGTATCTGAATGTTTACCTCTTGCAAAAGAGACTCATTTAATCAGTGTAACGGGAAACTTTTGCTGCCACTATTTGTGTGTCTATTTTAGGAAATCCATTGTTTTACCATCCTGGATGTTGTGATGATTTAGATCCAGCTATCAAAACAGGATTCCACAGTACACATACCTAAGAGTACTGCAAAAAAAGCACATTCTTCTTGTACACACGTAAGAGGGAAGCCAGAGCAGATTGCTGTGATAAGAAGTTTACAAAGCACAGCCTCTAAAGTCAGTGTTGCACCTACCTTGTCAGCAACCATGGCAGCATCAGAGGCACTCACAGTCATGGAGACAACAGCTCGGGCAATGCCAACTAAAGCCACCACAAATACCTGCAAAACAAGAGCAAAAATGAGCTCATGTCAAAAGGCACATATGCAGTAGTGATCAGAAACCCTTTTGGAACACCACTTTCAGGTCAGCTTTCCAGGCTAATAATGTGTACTAAGAATTTCCTGTAGCAGACTAGAGTTAATTTCCTGCAAAAGATTCCTCAGACACATTAGATAGGAGCAGTGCCTTGGAATTTGGGAAGGAACAATTGTCTCAGATTAAGCTCTGAAGAGTTCTTCACCCAATCTTTACAACAGTATCTTTAGTCTTCCCTTCATTCCACTGGGGCCGGGGAGGAGAAAAAGAAACAGACAGACAAAAACATTACAAAACCTCTGAATCACAAAACCAAATGGTTGGTATGTCTGACTAAACCAATCATATCAGATAACAGAAACCCTCAATACCAACTACCACACTGCACAACTGTGGCAAAACTAAACCTGCAGCTCTCTCACTCCGTACTGACAACGCTCAGGAATGCAGAGGAAAAGTCACCTGCAGCCACCAGCTTTAAAACATCTTGCCCTGCTGCAGAGTGCAACACAGAGATCCCCAACTCACTTCACATACCACTGAAGCATGACAGCTCAGTGAGGCTCAGCTTCCCTGTGCTGTCACAGCCACACTATGCAATTAAGAGCTCAGTTGGATGTATCTACACTCCATTTTGCAGACTTACACTCTAAGAAAGTGGAGTTTTCCAGAAAAATTCTCTAAATGTCAGGCTGATCCTAATGGTGAAGGTAGGAGACAGACAAACCTATCAGAGAACCAAGAGTCCAAGCTAATTCTAAGGTGGTTGCAGAATGGAAATGACCAAAAAGTGACCCACAGATGAGTTTCTCTCTTTTAGAGAAAAAAGGGACAGCAATGGCAACAGAGAATACAACAATTCCTCCTAGGGTGGAAAACCCCATGACAAAACACTGACAAAAAAGATGGGTCCCTGCAGATATATAATGGTGTTCTAGAGCTGCAACAGCTCACTGGAGAGGAACACACATCTTTTTGTTTCCTCTCTAAGCAGGTAGAGACTCTTCCCAATCTGTTACCTCCACATTAATCACCAACTCCACAGAAAGCATTCTTCTAGAACACGACAAACAGTCAATTTAAAGGAAGACCTCACAGAACACACTTCCATCCTCATTTCCCAATAACATACTCAAGAAATGAGTATGAAACTGAGTTAAAGCATTTTCCTCTAACACTGTGTACTGGATTTGGCTGGGATAGAGGAAATTTCCTTCACAGCAGCTGGTATGAGGCTGTGTTTAGGATTTTTATGCTCAAAACTGTGTTGATAACACAAATGTTTTCATTCCTGCTGCACTGCACTTACACAGAATGTAAGACATTTTTTGCCTCTCATCCCACCCCAGCAATGAGTTGGCTGGAGGTGCACAAGTTAAGAGGGGACAGCTGACCCCAGCTGGCCCAAGGAATATCTCATATGGCATCATGCTCAGCACATAAAGACAGGAAGAAGGAGGAAGGAAAAGACTTTCAGAGTAATGGTGCTTGTCTTCCCCAGTAACCATTACATGTGATGGAACCCTGCTTTCCTGGAAACAGCAAAACACCTGCCTGCCCATGGAAAGTGGTAAGTGAATGCCTTGCTTTGCTTTCTCTGTGTGCACAGCTTTTGCTTTGGCTTATTAAACTGTCTTTATCTCAACCCACAAGTTTTCTCGCTTTTATTCTTCTGATTCTCTCCCCTGTTCCAGTGAGGGGGAGTGAGAGAGCAGCTGTGTGGGGCTGAGTTGCCATCCAGAGCATAAAGTCAGTTCCCTTTCCTCCCTTTGGTTTATCAAGAGTTTTGTTTTGCAAAGCCTTTGGCACAAACCTCTACAGACCATGTGCATTACTGGAAACATGTAGGAAGGTTTAAATCCAGACTGGAAAGGGATGATAATATTTTTAAAAGGTTGAAACATTTGTGTGTATACCTGGTTATCCAAAACTGTGCAGAAGCCCAAAACCCCAACTCCTGGCTTGAAAGGGCCAGCAAAGATTCAGTTGAGGCTACTAGGGCAAGCCAGGATATCAAAAAGCTTCTGAATGGTATTTTTAAACAAATTCAGGTAGGTCCTTAGCTGCATTTATGATGTCCTGTAAGCAGTATCAAAGGGCACCACAGGACTGGTGAGAGGAGAACAGCAAGATCTTTGATGTTTGTGAACTGTAACTGTACTGAATATTCTGTTTCCACCTAAGGAATGATAAAGAATATCAAGTCAGGGCCACTTTGACATGATGTGAAGAAACTAACAGGGTTGGGTTTCTACATTCCCAGACTAACCAGAACTGTCACATAACCATTTTCCCTAGCAGATGACCAAGCTTTTTAACAATTTGACACAAATTATTCTCCTTTCACTACCTCAATGGAAAGCTGGGTTTGTGTCCCATGCTACTTACTTCAAGGAGCAAAGAAAGCATAAGATACATTCCAAGACATCAAATTAAGAAAAGAAGAAAAAAGGGAGAGGAAAAAGTGAAACCACCACAGGAGAACAAAATCCAGCAGATCTGGCCACAGAACCTACTAAAAGCTGAATTCCAACAGAAAAAATGCCTATTTCTTGCAGTAGACATTTCAACAGAAAGCAGATTCTATCCCTGCAAGAGCTGGTCTAGGCTCTCTCCACTAGTTCAGTGATATTGTTCATGAGTGGTAATAAAAATAGTAATAAATAATATTGCTCATGAGTGGTAATAAAAATCGCTCATTAGTCCAAAGGCCCAGAGTGGTACTCACTAGTATGTAGAATGTGGTGAAGATTGGGCTGGAAGTGACCCGGATTTTGGCCCTGGCAGAGGGCAGCTTCCAGAGGAGAAACATAAAGAAAAGCACATTGGGAACCAGGAGCAGAAGATCCCAGTAGCGGACTCTGCAAAAAGGAAATAAAAAAGGTTTTATCCCTGATCTTCAGCCTCTAGAAAGGAAAACACCAGCCCTGATCCCTTCTCAAGCAAACTGAGAAACAAACAAAGCTCTTTCCCTTGGTCTAGGGTCAGACCATTTCCTCCAGCTCACCTGGACTTCCCAATGTCTTCATAGAGCAGCAGCAGGCACTTGTGTGGCACCGTGATGTTGGTGTCGTTGGTCACGTGCGCTGTCATTGGGGACAGAGTTGTCACGTTATCCGGCGCCGTGACCAGCGCAGTCGAATGTGTGATGTTGTCAGACACAGAGAATGTCATCACAGACATCATGGACTGGAACATCCTGTCCTCCTTCTGGTCCAGATCAAACAGAGCAAGACAACCACAGCAGAGGAAAAAAAGCAATATTAAATCAGTTGTGAGTCACAGCTAAAAAAACACATCCTTGACATTAAGCCCCTGCACAACTGCTTCCTGCTTGCTACAGCCAATTATCACCATGTCAGAGACTGTATGACACAATGAAATGCCACCTGCCCCAAGTCTGCACAGCCATTAGGGTGGTCAGTACAAAGCCACACTTTGATATCAGAGTAACAAGCACCTTCAAATGGTGCTATGTGGATTAAATTTTGTCATTCTTGGAGCTTCAGCAGATTCCTAGAAGAAATCAAGGCTCAACAGCAATACATGGCATCATCAGATAGAGACAAAACCCCTACTTTACCAGGATATTTATTCTTGGTCCCAAGATCAAGAAGTGATAGCAATTTGATTTCATAGTGCAAAGAAAAGATGAAGGTCCCTCCTAAAACCCCATTGCTGTTACCAACTCTGAACTCTGAGAGCAGGGAGAGCCTCACATATGCCCGCCTAAAGGGACTGTACAGTCTTTACCTTTCAAACTCAACACTGGCAAAAACCAACATGCAGTTTTCTTTTTCTAACCCTCTGCAAGACACCAGAATGATTCTATTTTTGAGCAACTCTCTTCCCACCCTAAAGGAGAACCCTGACTGTTAAGGTACTTCAGCAGCTACAAGCTGAATACAAACACAGGGTCCAATCACCCCTCCTGACAATCCCCAAAAGAGAGATCACAGACAACCCACAGATGCAGAAATGATAAATCTCTGACAGCCAACATCTTAAAGATGCACACCGACAGGGACAGCACTTGAACAGTCTGTGTGTTATAGCTAATCCAGGATTTATTTTAATAAAATCTCCCTGTTTGACTGCAGCCCTGACTTGCGTGGTGCAAACTGACAGCCCCATGACAGGGCTCAGAAGGTATTTTCCCTTAGAGGTTCTGAGTGAGTCACAAGCTGGAAAGCAACAGCACAGCCCTGTGTCATCTGCTGAGCCTTCAGAGCTCAGTAGCACCTTCTCAGAGACTTGCTTGAGACTGTCAGTCATAGGCTCTTCTTTCTCTTTCTTCAGAGGCTGACACTCTTCCCAGGTTCTCTAAGGGGCAAGGGAATCATCCCATCCTCAGCCAACAAACCTTCCCTTTGATTCACCCCTGCTGACAGATATTCCCTGAGCTGGGATTGTCTTTTGTGACTGCTGTATGCAGTTCTGCACGAGAGGCATCACAGTAAATAAATACACAGATCTGGAAGGAGCAGCTTTGCACCAAGATGGCAAAGTCTGGGCCAAAAAATTCTAAGTAGAGGTTCCAGCAAACGACCTTCACATTCCAAATTCATCTCAGGAAATGTCCTCTCTTCCCTCCAGCTACTCATTTCTCTGAACTGCCAAGAGAGGAATTTTCTCTGGATTATTTTGCTCCACTCTCTTCCTCTGTAACACCACTACATGTCAGTAAAGGTGAGGTCAAGAACAGCCACATTTGCCAGCACAGAAAAATTTCTACATGATTTTTTAAAAAGCTGGAGAAAAGTTAAGAACAACCTCACACACCACAGGCAGAATAACATTATCAACTGTGAACCATCACAACCTCCTAGTAGCTCTTCTGGGACAAAGAATTCCATCTGCCTGCCACACTGAAAAGAGCTCAAGTATAAAGCTGTGAGAGATTTACATCAGCAAAGCAGCTTCTTATGAAAAGAGCAAGCAGGCTCCATTATTTTTCACCAGAAGCCACCACTATCACACAACAGTAGCTGCTGATAAGGAGAGGAGTTGGCCACATGGAACAGAAGTTCAGTCATGAGGTTTCAAAGGGCAAAGCAGAATCAAGCTCACCTCTCAGCCAGGCTGCTCACTACAGCCTGGTACTTGTATTCCTCCTCCCCACATAAAGTGTACACAAAGCAGAGCAACAGAACAGCCAATGTGATAAGAGAGGGCAGCCAAGGCCACCAGACAGCACTGTGGTCATGCTTTTCTAAAAGCTAAGGTCTACAGCACAGATGTTGAGAACTGGAACACTCCTGTCCAAATCAACAGCAAAAATCCCACAGCAGCAGGACCAGGAATTGAGGGAAAGGATCCAACTAGGGATCAGCAATGCTGCTCCTTTCAGCACACTGTCCTTGCCCTGTCTAGTCCTAAATAAGTCCAGTCAGCTGAGCATATCCAAGAGGTCACTCACCACACCCTGCCTCCATGGGACTGCCTGCTTCAGCCAGCCCAGCCCATCGGGGGTAAAATCTCCCCAGAGCCCCATGGAAAAAAAAACAGGGCCATTGTCATGGTCTCCCCTTTTCATCCAGCAGGCAGCTCTGTACACCAGAACACAAAATAAAATGTTCTCCTACACTCCAGATGAAGTCAGGCTGATTTGGTGAAGGCCAAGTCCTCAGTCTAGACCCTGCATTCAGACTAAGAACATGGGCATGATTCCTGGGCTGCAGTGACAGAGCACTGGGCAGGGCTCTGCTGCACCTTCAGGGAAATGTTATTGGTCCTTGAATCATGGCACTGTAATATCAGAGCTCAGTGAAATTCAGACTTCACATCACTGGCAAGTGTCTGTTCCTTCCAAGCCCACCTACAGAAAGATGAATTACAAACTGCACAAGTTGCACCTGTAATAAAAAAATCAAAACTTTTCTGTCTTTCTGCAAGCAGCATCAGAAAGTCTCTTAAGTACAGATCATGATAGACTGCTTCTTATGATACTGTATTTATGCAATAAAAACTGCACTGACCAGATCCCTGCTCAAATAATATACCTGCTACTTCAGTAACTTAAATGCTTAAAAATACCCCTGAACACTAAAAGTAAAAAAAACAAAAAAAAAACCAACCCAAAAAACCAACCCCACCAAAAAAAAAAAAAAAAATGGAGATTTGTTTGGTTTTTTTTTTTCTCTCTCTTCCTTTTTAAGAAATCGCTTCAACCCTCCCTTTTGGTCATAACAGTTGCATTTTTCATTTCACTGAGAATTTAAGACAGGGATTTTCCCTCAGTAATTGAGGCAGTCCCTTCCAGTTTCTCTCTCACATCTTGTTCTGAAGTAAGCTTAAAAATAAAGGAACTGCAACGAGGAAAAAGGAAAAATACCGAAAGCAGAAGTATAAACACTAAGCCTAAACCCTCAGAGACAGAGAACCATGGCCCAGAGGTGGATTACAGCAATACATATCCCGGGGTTTTTTCTGTTTTGGTTTTGATTCCTGTGGAAGGCGGGGGCACAACACGCAAGGAAAGTAGCAGTGAGCGGTCACTCGGTTCCAGCTGCCGAGGAGGCGCCGCCGGTCCCACAGGCACAGCCGAGCCCCACTGCAGTTCCAGCCCAGCCTGCAGCTGCCCAGGGCTGCCCCGGAGCTCCGGCCATGGGGCTCTAGGAGGCCCTCGGAGGCCCGCGGCCCCGCCGCCCCGCTCTGAGGAGCCGCAGTGTCGCTCTCTCCCTCCTTCTCCACTGCCCCCCTCCCGCGGCCCCGCTCCGCCCGTCCCCACCGGGCCCCGTTCGTACCCAGCCCCGCTCCCGCCGCCGTCGCTGCTCTGCTCAGTCCCGGGGTCCCGGCCCCGCCATCCCAGCCCCGGCCCTGCCGCTCCCCTCAGCCGGGGAGCGTCGCTGAAGAGAAGCCGGAGCGCAGCGCCGCGCAGCCAGGCGGAGACGCGGCCGCCACAGCCGGGGCTTATCGGCCGAGCCCAGGGGCGCTATTGAGAGACGGTCCCCGAGAGGTCCGCGGCTGGGCCAATCAGAGAGCGGGTGCTATCAAAGGGCCCGGCAGAAATAGCGGACCCAGCCAATAGAAAGGGTCGGGAGGCGGGACTAAGGGGGCGGGTCCGCCGCGCTTTAAAGGCGCCCCGTCCCCCACCCACCTGTGGGTCGCCAGCCGGGTGGGAGCCGTGGAGGCGGGCAGGGAGGGCGGTCTCGGTTCTGTTCTTTCCTGCCCGATCCCACCCCAGAACCAGCGCTCTACCATCCTGCACCCACCGTCACACTGCTCCCGGCAGCCAACACGGTACGGCTCCTCTGTACGGCCTCAGGATGCGAGGCTGGGCAGTTAATAATTGAGGGAGATCCGATAATAATTCCTGCAGGGGAGAATGATTAACAACCTGTGAGTTTGGCTTGTGAGGAGAGTTCGAAGCTGACTGAAGAAACTCGGCGTAGCTTGGACAGCAGCTGCTAAGGGGAAATGCAATCAATAATTAGCAGGATTTCAAGGTGCGAATACCAGACGGACAAGAGAGACGCTCAGTATCGTAAACAAGGAAGCAACTGTGACAAATGAGCCAAGATTTATTTAGGAAATTAAAGGAAATAACCAGCTAAGCACCAGCACGTTACTCTCAGCAGTAAGAGCTGACTGACAGAGAAGTTTCAAGGAGAATGGTTTTTATCTGAGTCATTGCAAGGACTGCAGGACACATTCTGGCATGGGTTTCCACCTGTGGCTGCAGGGTTTGCTTCTGTAGGAATGAAAGGCTTTTGCCACGCTGAAGTTTGCTGTACAGAGCCTACACCTCTTTAGAAGATCCCTACCTTGGTCAAGTTTGCAGGTTCTGCTCTAGCAAACACCATACACAGAAGGGTTCCAGGCCCTGCTCACACACAGATAGTGCTTCATCCTCTTCTTAGGTCAAATTTTCCAGCTAGCTTTCCTCAGCAAGCCTCATGAAGGGGTTGTACCTGGAGACTTGCCTGTCTCAGCCCTGTTCTTCTGATTTTCCACTGGGTTGAAACAGGTTTTCATGCTGGTGTCATGCCTTTGGAATGACATCTGGAGAAGCCAGTCCTTAGCTTGTCTCATCTCACACTGTCGCTCAGGTTAATGATATGTTGCAATATTTTGACACGTTCCATTTATGGATCCAAGCTCAAAGGCTTGTCTGACTCCAAGATCTCTGAGTTATAGAAGGGACACTTCTGTTTAGAGAGAGGTGGAGTGTTTCTGCCTAAGAAGTGCCTTGGTAACAGACAAGTAAAATCCATGTCTTCTCACTTGTAGCCTCAGGCACTAACTAGTTGAATGTGTTACCTCCCACATAACTGTGTCAGAAGGAGAGATTTTGCTTTCCAATCCACCTGCTTTTGCCATCTGATTCAGCTTGAGGCTAGAGCCCAGTATTTGGGACACCAGATCCAAAAGCTGTTTCATGGTCAGGAGACTGCTGGGTGGCATTGCAAGGACTGTGACACTTTATCTCCTGCCTTCCTCACTGCTAGTGTGAAACAGGAGTTCCTTTGAATTAACCAGCCCTGCCACATGGTGTGGGCAAACATAACTCCCCTCTTCCCACCTCCGAGGACTGCTCCATGTCCTTACCTGCACACATCCTTCCACTTCAGCTGAGCACTGCTGCTCTGTGCCTCATCTCCAGCCAGCACCTAAACATAGCAGGGCTCACTCCCTCTGTCCTTGCTGTGTCTCTTGGTGTTGCTGGGCTGAGGCAGGACAAGAGGTGATGTTCAGCAGTCTTGATACAACCTTGGGGGCCCCATTGAAAGCTGCACTTGTTGTTGTACCTGCTGCAGCCTGCTGTGCTGTGGCAATCTCACCTGCCTTGCAGGTGCCAGAGGTGGAAGATGCAGACATGGTGTCCTTCATGTAGTCACCAAATTTAACCACTTTTATCTCTCTCAAATACTCTTTCAGTTTGTATAAAATCAGTCTACTGAACAGGATATTACCTCTGAACTGAAACTGCTTTGCTGTTCAGGTGCTGAGCAGCTGCAGGGACAGATGTGCCTGTCTTGTTTCAGAGCTGTTCTACCAGCCTGCTGATTTCTAGTGCTGGGCATAAATTTGCACTACAGGATATCACCTGGACTGCACTCCTGTGTCTCTGCCCTTTTTTTTCAAGGGGAATTCACTCACTAGGGCTCTTCCTGTGCTGCAGGAAGCCACAAGTCTGCAAAATCCTAGTGGTAAGGTTGGATATTCAGGAGTTTGGTGCTCAGGTGAGGTCACCCCAGTGAGCAGCCAGGGCCCTCTCTGCATCTCAGCCCTCTCACATCCCCAATCCATGTCTCTAGTGTGGTAGAAGGAGTTCCATGCATGGCAGCAGCCTGATTTTAGGGGTGGTTTTAGCTGCCCAAGCTCAGCTCTTGTCAAAGAGACAAAGCACCCCAGCTCAAGCATAGGACTACTTGTAGGTGGCACCCAAAGTTAGCAGTGAAAAAACATGGACATGTGTGTGATCTTCCAGGAAGGACAAACAGAAAATCTGTCTGTCCATCCAGCTGTCTGGTGCCTGGAGAGACAGTGGCACCCTGTGGTGACACAGGCTTATCACAGTGTGTCACCTGGGCCTTGTCAGACAGGTCCTGCACTGAACAGGCTTCCCAGTGAGGTGGTGGATTCACTGTCCCTGGAAGTGTTCCCAAACCATGGAGATGTGGTGCTTAGAGATATGTTTTAGTGGTGGGCTTGGCAGGGCTGGATTAACAGCTGGACTCCATGGCTTTGAGGATCTTTTCCAACCTTCATGGCTCTGTGATTCTGTGACCTATAAGATCACCAAGCCCACGGCGGTCTCTAGAAACCTACAAGTGGGAGCATCTTGGGGGTGTCCCTGTGTCTGTTTCACTCTGAGCACCAGCCAGCTCCCTGCCACGTGCCACAGAGAAGAGGCTGAGCCACTCTCCTATTTATATCATGATGCTCCTGCTTTGCTATATTAGTACCAGCCTGAATCATCCAGCTGGGCTCCTGGAAGATCCATTTCAGATTGTCAGCTGCCTCTTCAGGCACTTTTGCTTCTGGTGTCTCCTGTTTCAGGGTCATTGTCTCACACCCCAGTCCAGCCAAGAGCAGAAATAGCCTGATACTAAATAGTGGTCAGAAACCCTTCAGAGAATGCAGACCTCCAAAATCCAAACCACAGACCCTGTGGCCTGGAAGGAAGCATTCCATCTCTTTGCTAAACATCAGCCCCATTGCTTGTCTCTCTAAATTCCTCTTCCAGTCTCTATGGGACAGGTGCTGTTCTTTGGTTCCTCTCACAAATGGCATTTGCTCGCAGCACTGAACAGCTGGAGAGACAGATGTGTGTGTTCTTCAGAATAGCTCTGATCAGCCCCCTGTTACTTGCAGTACATACAGGCTTGCATTAAAAAAAAAACAAAAAAAAACTCCCTCCCAAACAACAACAACAAGAACCAACCAACCAAAAAAACCCCACCAGAAACCTAGAAAAACCCCTAAAACAAACAACCTCCCCCCAAAAAGAACGCCATAAAATGCCAGAACCTCCTTCCTATCTCTTGTAGTTTCAGCGAGAATCAGAACAGACGATTGAACTGGGTCAGGGGCAAACCCGGTCAAGCAAGGCTTGATTTTAGCTCCCAAAGAGGCCACCGCGAGCACGGGAATTCACAGCGGGATCCCTCCCGTGCCTCGGGTTCCCGAGAGGGGGAGACTCCTCAAGCCCAGAGGGAAATGTTTGCTAAAGTTTGTTAAAGCCTGCTCCTGCCACCCACCAGCCTCCCGAGCCCCGCCGGCCGGGGGTGGCCCTGGGTCCCGCCCCCTCATGCATATTCATAAGGGGGCGGGACCCTCTAGCCATTATTCATTCGGTTTCGCGCGCTTTCGTGACCACGTGGTCTGATTTTCGCGCGGAATCCGGGGGCAGGAAGCGGCGGTGATGGCGGTGAGTGGCTGTGCTGGGCTGTGCCGGGCAGGGGCAGCCGATCATTTGGGGTCCCACCTCCATGAGTTCGGGCCCGGCGTTCTCCCCGCTGCCGGGCACTCGGCGCTGCGGGGTCCAGAGGGGATTTTGGGGTGGGGGGGACACTGGGGGCGCGCCCGGCGGTGCTCCCGGAACGCCGGGGGAATTTTCCCGCGTTCCCGGCGCTGGGAGCAGAGAGCCGGGCCGGGGCACGATCGGACCCTTTCCCTCCCCTCCGGCTGCGCTGCCAGGGTGGATTTACCCCGTATCTCCCACCCTATCCCCCCACCCCATATGTTTCCATTGTCTTTTGCAAGAAGGGTTAATTATTGTAACTCACGGGTGATCCATATACCCCCCTTCTGACGGGCACAGGCTCCTGCAGGCACTAGCCCCCTCTCCCCCTCTCCCCTGCCTTCACCGTCCCTCCTGTCCCCGCAGGACTCCTCCGAGTCGCAGGCAGCGGTGACCAGCCCCGTGCGGAGCTCCCGCCGCGGCGATGCCTTCACGTCCAGCCCCGGTCGGGACCTGCCTCCCTTCGAGGATGAGTCCGAAGGGCTCCTGGGGACCGAGGGGCTCCCCGAGGAGGAGGAAGAAGGGGAAGAGCTCATTGGGGAAGGGATGGAAAGGTAAGAAAATCGTTCTGGGGGGCTGTGTCTGGCGATGGGGTGCTGGGGATGTCAGGCAGCCAGAGACATGGAGGGAGCTCTCAGACCTTGTGTGATCCCTCTGCTTGCTGGCAGCTGGGGTGACAGGGCTGAAGAGCTGCTGGGCAATGGGGAAAAAAAGGTCAGAGCATGGTGTCATTTGAGTCCTGGGAGAACTGAGCCAAGTGCCATGATGGTCCCAGCTGGGTAAACCAGGATCTACCTGGGTGTGTGATGTGCATTCAGCCCAGCTTTGCTTCTCCAGGCATGAATTTTGATGTTGTTTTACTCAGCAAGGTCTGCTGGCAAACTTTACAACACAAAGGCTTGAATGCTGGCATTCCCAATCATGGTTTTGGAGCTCTTTGCATTCCT